CTCTTTCGTACTCTAGTGCAGACACCTCCTTTCATGGCACACTCCTAAAGCACAAAGGAAAAGATTAATATAAGCCTTTCACTGACTGCAGGTGTGTCTGCTGCAGTAACCACTGAAGTCAGTGAAAGTCTAGATGTCATATTTTACATCTTTACATATTTCCATAATTTTTAGAGCAAACAGCAAAGCTATTTTTGTATTGCAATGGGAGTGGTTTCTATTTTAAAATCCTTGGACCTAATTAAGTGGCATATAATGACAAATAGATTGCAAAACTAGGCTCAGCTTCCAGAAACAAATTTACCTTCCTTGGTATTACTTCTGGCTTGACAGAAATATCAGCACTACCTAGGTTATTATACCATGGCCCATGAACGCTTTCATTTTTTTTTTTTTCCAAAGATTTTTTTTTTTTTTTTGTGGAAGCAGAAGTAGCCTGGGTAGTTCAGAGGTCAGGATTCTGGACTAAAAACCTTTGCCCTTATGCGTCACAAAATATTTCTCCTGACCCTTTTGTCCCAGCGGCCTACAGTGGCTCTTGGTGCCTCACAACCATGAGGCGTGTGCGACAGAGGTGCCAGGACACTAAAAAAGACTTCATCGGTCTGCAGAAGATGAAGCCTTCTCCCCAGACCTGTTTTAGGCAAGGGGCAGATGACAGGATGTCGATGGAAGAGGGGTTCTACCTCTCTGTGCTTCAAAGATGGTTTAATAATTAGAAAAAAATTACACAAAAATGCAGCCATGATGATAGCGAAAATAAATCATCCTTCCAAATGTACAAGGGCTTAAAACAAAATGTAGTCAAAACAAGCCAGCACATAAAGGAGTAATTCTGCTGATTTCAAACAAGTTGCCCATATTAGTTTTGCTCCACTCTTTAAAAACTTTAATGAACACAGTACTTTCCTTCCTTCAAAAGTGAAATCTTAATTTTAGCAGTGACTCTTGCAACTAGGGTCCCTAAAATGCGTTATCACCCTGACTTGGCCAACCCATGGCTTTCAGATGGCTGCTAGAGAAAGGCAGGTTGAAGGAGTGGTGAAGGGGGTGAGGGAAAGCCACCGTTCCCCCGTGCCCGGGAAAGACGCAGTTCCCACACTGCGGCGAGTGTTTCGGAGGAGCCATCAGGACCTGCCGGTCCCTGCTGCAGGTCACCACGCAGGCAGGCGTGGGCACAGAGGTGCTGGCTTTCACACAATAAACCTCAAGCACCTGCTTAGTGCACTCGGCATGCTCACGTGGATAAAGCAAATGGAAGTGTGTGAATTGATGGGCTTTAGTGGAAATAGATGTGTGAAAAGGTGTAAAATCAGTTTTCTAAGGTGAACAGGCTTTATTCCAAAGATAAGAAAAAGGAAGGAGCCAGTCCAGGGACAGCAGTACCCAACTTGCAAAATTTTATTTGCATTTCACAGGTTTCTGCTATTTGAAAACCTAATTTCTTTTAAGAATAATAATCTTGAGAGCAGTAAGTATGCTGTCAATTTATGGGAGCTCTGCCAATATAGTAACTTTTAAGACAATTTGCTGTATGGAACAATATTTATTGCCTTCCAGCTTGTTTCCTAAGCTTGCTTGCTTTTTTCTCCCTCTTAATTTATCTCATAAGCCAGAGAGAAAGCCAAAATTGACAGTCTATTTAGACAGAAGCAAACCAAAGGCTGCATCCTTTTGACCTTTATCAGCGTACAAGGAGTGTGAACTTACCACCACCATTTTCCCATCAACCAGTCTTCTCTTTATCGTGGTCTCTTTGCCATTCCACTTCTGCACTTGCACCAATGCTCCTTTCTCCAAGGTTATGACGCTCTGCAAAGGCCAAGAGAAGAGTTTCAAACTGCAGTCCGAGCTTTGCAGACTAGAGTAGCAATTCACTTTACGTTCAGCAAGATCCGCATTCTTGGCTAATGACATGCTTAGTAAACATTAGTTTCAGCACCATACTATTTCTTCTTTCAGTACTTTTTTTGAATAGTTTGGAAAACTCATAGTGCACTTGGTGGGTAGGAAAAACTCCTCCTGGTGTTCTTCTAGGACGTCAAGACCACTCAGAGATCATCAGTTCCCTTACCTTGACTTTCCGGTCATCTGCTGTTGTTTCATCAAACTGCTGGCCCAGTTTGAAAGAGATCATTGTATTTTTGAAGGTGCTTTCAGTTCTGATGGTTACTATGTCCCCTTTCATACTGATGATCACATCAGGCTTTGCCAGGCCACCTAGCTTCCGGGTAGCTAAGCCCACTCCTAGAAGTCAGAGACAAAACCGCATTACATTCTAGCAAGCAAGAAACTCAGTATCCTTTCATAAATCTTTGGTGGAATAATAAGGAACAGTTTCTTCTTGAACACTCTAATGCCTGATTCAGATGAGACACTAATTCTTTGAATGTGGAAGTACTGCGTTCAGAGGTTGAGGCAACCCCAGCTGACAGAGTGCACCTTCAGCAAGAAATAAAGATATATATGAGTATGTACTTGTGTATATCTAGCTAAAAAGAAACATAGATGGTTACAAATCTGCATGAATTTGTGTAGAGATAGAATGGGTAGAAAAATTCAGAAGAAAGGTCTATTTCTCATAAAGGCTTGCAAAAATTCTTTTTAAAAAAAAAATCTTCACAAATCTGAGAATCTGCACTTTTGTTAACCAGCTGCACGGAAGAAACTGGATATTGAACTGCCAATATGCTGGTGCTTGTCCATTAAAACATACTGGAGATTGGGCAATTCCTAGGTTGCTACTAACATCCCTTAAGGATCCTTACATCTAAACCTCAGTGAAAAGTACAAGTATGAAATACAAAAAACACTGAAGTATAAGAGTGAAGAGCTGCAGAGGGCTTCAGGGAAAATCCCATGTCAAAAGCCTTTTATGTTGCCTGGCGCTTTTCAGTCCAGTTCATTGTCTATAAGTTGTGAGGTCTGGGGCAAGTTAGAATGAAGGCCACTGACAACGTGCTGCTGTTTTATAAAAGCAGAATGGGTATAGCTGTAGTTATTGCCTTTGTTAATGCTATGCCACGCTCAGATGAAAAGATCCATATCAAAGGGTACAAAGTTATCTGTGAAGTATAGCACTATTTGCAGTAATTATTCTACACTAAACAATTCTCTTCAGATCTGCAGAAAAATATCTGTGGCTGGACTTTCATCCCACATTTACTCTTGTTAGTTGATTAACTGCAATTCTTCTGTTATTCAGTTTAACATTTCAGATAAAGGGAATCAGTGTCTCAGTGAATCATTCATATAGCAAAAGCAACTCTGTAGCTGTGCACTTGCTATATAGGAATGAAGCCAGCATTAAAATGAAAAACAATGCCTAATTTATTACATTCCTGGCATTCTTCAGTAACAGATAGATTCATTCATAGGATTTAGACCTCTGAAACCAAAGTGTCATGAGACATCAGCTCCATTATATATTGTAAATTATCACAAGTCATGAGTTTAATGGTGCAATCAAGAGAAACATAAAAATATACTGCATCTCCATAGATTCTTCTCATTACAGAAAAACAAATTATATCAGGTCAGTTCAGTTAGAAATAAATTTATTATAGTAATTCAGCACCTACCTTTCTGTTTTTCCATTTTAAATGCTAAAGGAAAGAAATTAAATTATGCTAGAAAAGTAATTAAAGTGCTTTTGTGGCCAGGAAGAAGACACCATCCATGAGCAAAGCATAAGATGAAGAAGAGACATTCCCAAAGAAAACTTACTAAAAAAAAAAAAAGAAAGAACATTTCTCACCCAATTCTTTCATATAGTCATCAAAATTTTCACTGGAGACGAGTTTCCAGGTTCCCACAAATCGGTTACACATTGTATAGGCTTTGTGAGGCAGTGGTCCTGCAGAGAGAGGCGGTGGCCACAGCAGCTCTTGGTGGGAGTCAGAGAGATTGTGTGCCTGACTCAGACCTCGCTGGCCTCCTTTTAAAGATGCCCAGACCCTGTAGCGGTCAGGACGGGCCAATAGGAGAGGCAGTGCCAGGGCAAGACAATGTGCACCTTGTCCAAGGCAGCCGTGTCAGTACCAAGGCTCCGGGTGACGCCTGCTTCAGCTTCCTCCACTGAATAGATCAGGACACTGAGGGGTGCGTGGGGACGGCGACGTGAGGTTACCACTGCATCCACAGAGCAGTCAGGAGACACTGCAGTGGGGTCTCAGCAGCACAGAGCCACCAAGCACAAGAGCACTGCATCCATATGAAACCCAGCTCTGACTGTCCTTCCCATGCCATTCTCCTGCTATCACCATATAGAACAGAACAGAACAGAACAGAACAGAACAGAACAGAACAGAACAGTTGGAAGGGACCTACAACGGTCATCTAATCTAACTGCTTGACCGCTACAGGGCTGACCAAGTTAAAGCCTGTTATTAAGGGTGTTGTTCAAATGCCTCTTAAACACTGACAGGCTTGGGGCATCGACCACCTCTCTAGGAAGCCCATTCCAGTGTTTGACCACCCTCTCAGTAAAGAAATGCTTCCTAATGTCCAGTCTAAACCTCCCCTGGTGCAGCTTTGAACCATTCCCATGTGTCCTATCACTGGATACCAGGAAGAAGAGATGACCATCTCCCTCTGCACTTCCCCTCCTCAAGAAGCTGTAGAGAGCATTACCACTATTGTCACCTGTGTGCTAGTCAGGTAAATCAAAGCCATGTGGATTTTGGGGAGGAGATGTCAAGAAGCTGTGATACATAATGGTGGGGGGGTGTTTTTATTTACTTTCATGATCCATCCTGGGAAGGGTCTGTGTGTTTTATCATTTAAAGGCAGAACTGAATTATACTGTTCTGTTTTCTCCCTTTGCATCAGAGTAATGATCCCATGCTGTGGGTTCTTCCCTGCGCATACCCCAGGCAGCACCACAAAGAGAAGAAGCAGCCAAACTTCGCTGCCTCCCTTCTTCCACAACAGGCCATGTTCAGAAGATCTTCTCAGTTCAAAGTCACTTGGTGAGAGCTGCACGGTTTTACTGGCTTGGGATGAAGGCATATACTGCTCTCTTTTTGCCTTTCTGCACCTGGATAGTTGGTCTGTCATAGAGTTAAGGGCAGATTTAAGCCAGCGCAGTCATATAAGGCATTGCATTCAAATGTGTCCTACTACTGTCAGATTTCTTCAAGTTTCCCTGCTTCCATGAAGAGACTCCACAGCCTCCCTGGGTCCACGTCTCCCTTGTAGTGGGGAGCCCAGAACTGGACCCAGCATTCCAGGTGTGGCCTCTCCAGTGCTGAGTAGAGGGGAAGGATTATCTCCCTCAACCTGCAACATTCCTCCTAATGCAGCCCAGGACATCACTTGCCTTCTTTGCTGCAAGGGCACATTGCTGCTCATATTCAGTTTGGTGTCCACCAGGACCCCCAGAGCCTCTTCTGCAAAGCTGAGTTTGAAAGTTTGAAAAGTTTGAGTTTGAACATTCAAAAATTTTTTAAAAAATGTACATTTAGAACTATTGTCTTGTGGTTAGTAAAAACGAGCCACAAAGAACAAACCCATAAACAATATGTATATTTGACAGGCAGGAATTTAAAGCATTGTAATTCAACACACCTCAAACTATCTGGAAGTATTTAGTGTAAGACCACAGCAACTGTAATTCTGTCCTTCCCCTTCCTGAACCATCCTCTGGAGAAAACTGCTATTTGCTCCATTGAAAGGATTAGATATCTTCTTTCTTACTTGTGTGAACAATAGTTGCCTGCTTGTCTTTTTTGCATGATTACACTTTCTGGGTTATGACCACTTATAGGGACTTCTCAGATGTACATTGTAAGGATGGAGGGACACTGGGATTATAGGTTGTGGGACCAAATTTCTTGTGTTTAGGGTAGAAAGAGTGAGATGGAGCATATGCTGGGCCAAGGAGGGTGAGGTTTGGGTCTCATCTTGAAAGCTGTCATATGCAAGAACGGGAACATGCTTAAATCAGAAAACAATACAGCCTGAGCAGTGAAAATATTGTAGTCTTTGGATTATACTGTGGTTGTGGGGAAATAACAAGGTCTTAAGCCACAAATTTTGGTTGTATATGCAAAATGTTTTTATCCCATCAGTCATAACATCAACAAGGGTAAGTTGAGCAGAACTTCCTATTACTGCTCAGGTCTAACTACAGTGCAGTGTAGGGAGGGAAAGTCTGGAATGATTGAAAATAAAAGCAAAATAAAGAAGAATTCTTTCTCTCCCACAGTAGGAAGCAGACGCTGTATCTGTAATATGTAAATAAATGTCAGTCTTTGAAGGTGTTGTCCGCACAAAGTTCTTCTAAAGCATTGTATCACATTTTGTGCAAAGAATAGCTAGCTCTTTTATCCAATTTCTGGAAATGAGAAAGCTCCTCCTAAATGAAACTATCCATTATTTCTCAAGGAATAATACAAAAATATTCTACCGTTGCTCCTCAGGCATTCTTTGTTCTTTCATTTAATTGTCTTATCCACATAAAGGCACTTTAACAAGACAAGGCTGGTGCCTTTGGGAAATAAAAGATGATTGGGACGTTGTAAAATCAGGCCCAAAGAAATTCAAGAAGAGCAAATTAGTCAGAATAGAACAACTATACTGCAGTACCAGTAACCTTAAGAACAAAAGTGACAGAGAATTATTTATACAGACAAAACCCCAGTCTTAAGCAGTCTCAAACAATGTTGACATTGCTACCATCTATCTCTTTGTCACTAAGAAAAATCAGCACTTTCATTTAAAGGACTTACAGTCTAGAAAGAAGAGGAGCAAGGAATTATATCTCAGTAGAAATAATATCTGTGAAAACCAATCTTTTCTTCAAGTTTAAAGGAAAAAAAAGTGTCAAGGATTGTGAGTATATGTGATAAAAGGGAGCTTTGATTCCTTTTTTTTGGTTTATGGCTGGATTAACATAGGATTTGAAATTAATACACTTGGAGACTGTGAAGCAGCACTAGAGATGAAGGTAAAAATTGATAAAAATAGTGAGCTAAAAATATAAAGAGACTATTTAAATAAATACAGAAAGTACATTTATGTCAATTTTTTTAAAGGAAATATGATCTGGGAAAAGTCAGTGCCAAAAAAATCTAAATTAAATTCCTAGGAGAGTCATGAAGAAAACATAAATAAAAGCAGAGAACAGAGGCCAAATGCCTGCCTTGCTGTGAGGACACCAAGGATGTTTTAACACTGACTCTACGGAGCCAAGGGATTGACACCGAACACGAAGCCAGCAGTCTGCCTCTTCCCAATAGCTACACTGGAGGGTGCAAAGAGCCTTTTGTCTCCTTAGCTGGGGCATCCCATGAGACCAGATCAAGACTGCTGGGGCCGAGGGAACAGGTGGCAGCTTGGGGCAGACTGCAGAGCTGGGCGCACACCAGGCTTGACTGGCTAGGATGGCAAAGTACTCTGAGTTCCTTCCAGTGGAAACAAAGAGTTAAAAGAAAAACAGAAAAATAACAGAAAGGTCAAATCTCAGAATAAGCCTTGCTTCATCTTTCTCCTGAGCTGCTAAAAATCTGTGGGTGTGAGTCCCCTTTCCCTCTTGTCATCCAAGAAACCTATAAAGGAGTAGTGAGCAAATATGCTAACGGGCAAAAATCTCCTCTTCTCAGCATTCAAGGGTGCCTGCTGCAACAAGCATGTCACTCATGGGGTTTGTAGGGGTTTGGTGAGATCCTCCTTTTTCAGAGAGGAATGCTATGGGATGGTTTCTCACTTTTGGAGAATAGTTCAGCACTACAGAAAAGAGAGGGGGACGTGTGCTGCTCTGCAGGCAAGGACAAGACACTGATCTGCATTTACCCCTCAGAAATGTGTGCTGTCACCTCCATCCAGGTCTGAGAGCACACACCTGGAGGAATATCTCCATTTATTCAAGAAGTCACTGGGCTGCTCCTTTTTTAGAGAATAAATTTTGGCCTTCTTCAGAGAATAAATTTCAGACATATTCATATTCTAAGAAAAGCATCACTAATACTTTGTTATGGTGCTGGCCCTGCTAACATTCATAGAGACAATGTCACTTTATTGAAATTTCCAGCAGTTGAAGTTTTAAGTGGCTTGATTCATTCACAAATTCTGAATTCATTCACCAGGTACTAAAATAAATGGTGATGCTTTTAGGAGAGATTACCTGCCTCGGAAAAATTAGGCTGGGAATGTTACAATTGTAACTGCAGGCTTTATTAAGAATGTAAGATTTCTGGAAAATAAAGGCTGATATATGAATATTGGAATATTGGAAATTTGAACTCTGAAATAAATATAGTATTTCCGTATCTGTGGACAATGGGATATATTTAACTATGGGCTGATCTTTAATGTCTATACATAGCTTATTTAAATCAATGTTGCTGCTTTTTACGATCATCTTTCCCATGTAGTTTTTCTGCCACTAAACTGTAGTTTTATCCTGGCTTTTGTAAATAATTTTCGTTCTTGTTAAGTGCTAAGTAGATTTAGTATTGTATATATGGGGTACTCTGAAGCATACTGCCTTCCCCTATGCAACTGCTGCTCTTCAACTTGATGAGATTTCACAGCCAATGAAGCCAAGGTGAAAACAGGGAAGCTGTTTGTTCATGGCTTTTTTAACATTTTCTGCTGAATTTACTGACAATCTTTTGGAACTGCTCTTAAATGATTTCTTAGCTCATCCAGAGTGTAGAAGTTCCTCTTTTCCCCTCTCCGGTTGTATTAATAGTGCAGAAACTTGGGAATAGTCTGAGTCATACAGAGGAAAGTTCAAGTGTATGAGGTCTCTGCTGCTGGCAGTAGGGACTGAGCACCGTCACCTCTGACAGCTGACCTCAGGAATGTCAGGAATATGTGGAATTTGGTTCACAGATCTT